AAAAAAAAAAGTGAATATAGACAAATGTTCAAGTTCACTATAAAAGAAATAAATGATGTGTTTCCCATTGGTTCTAGCTAGGACAACCAATATGTCCAGAGTAATAAGAGAGGATACATGGGCAGAAATACTGGCAGGCTTATAGAGAAGCAATGGTGGCATCTTTCAAAAACTCTTTTCTGATTGTTTTTATTACTTCAGTGTCAACACGGAGCAAGGTACAAAGGAAGGAGGTTAGATGTGAGGATGGAGGTTAACCTACCATTACACTCTCCTTTGGGAGAAAAGACTTAGAGAAAACTTGCAACTACTAAGCAACCAACTAAGGTTCGGATAATTAGTCAGCCTAACTGTGATCGATAAACATTTCCAATTAAACAAACAAACAAACCCCTGCTCTGTAGTGTGCTCTTTTCTTTGACTGAATATCCTTCTCAATAGTTCTTTTGGAGTCCTGCTTCCATTACCCTAACGTTGAGATCTGATCTGCATTTAAATACACATAGCAGCAATAACTTTTTCCCATGAGAGAAACAGCCGACGCAGAAAAGTATGGCTCAGGGAGCATTAAAGTTTCTCTTCCTCACAGCTTGATATACACACAGGACATAAATGATCACATTATGCTCCTCTACTATGTATTCTGCATTACTTATATTCTTAGGTCTTGTCTTCTCTGATACTATTCACACCCCCGACCCCCAACTATTATAAGTTTTATAGGTCTCACTTCTTATTCTATTCTTACTTTGAATGATATACTGCAACTTCTAGTTTCTGGTCACTTATCAAGATCCTGCAGTATATTCCAAAGCCTTCTTGGCATTAACACAATATTTACTTAAAATCTCTATATGACATACGTGTATAATCTTAATGAATGAAACCAAATCAGGTAAATAATGTTGAACCGAAATGCCAGTTAAGACTTTTGCTATTATTTCACCTGAGCCACTCTTTCTGGGGGGGAAAAATAATTAATTAAAATAATAATAATAATAATTTGATGAGATCATCTTAAAATGAATATTTATTTGGTAAACCATTTTATAGAAAGAGACCCTAAAATCAAACAATTTCTTATTTAAACAGAAAGCACAATCCCAATCTTTCCCCCATTAAAAGCCTACTCCATAACTGAAGTACCAAAAACCCATGAACTGTATTGCTATAGAGGGGAAATGAGGAGAAAAAGACATTAAACTTCCACAGGAAGACTGAATAACTCTGGCAGTGGTGAAGTACACATCAGGCTGTACCCAAGGGTACTACTGAGTCTGAAATATTAACTGAAAATCTAAACTTAATACTTATTTGTTCGTAATAAGGCTCAGAAAATTACCACCTATCAATTATGTAATGTTACATTATGTAAACTGATGTAATCAAAAAGTAAAGCAGGCAATCTGGATTTTAACACCAATATAGGTAAATCTGTAGAAGTAAATAAGAATTTTTAAAAGACATTCTTTAGCTTCAATTTAAAACAAACATTCCGAACTGGAATCTTCAGAGTTTTCTAATATCTTGAAAATTCCCATCTTCTCTTTAATTGGTCCTGAGGCATTCATTTGATCTAAGAGAAAAATATTAAAACAAGTATTTAAAGTGCTAAGAACCTAAAGAGGAATATTTAAAAAAAAAAGTCCTATATGTTCCTATCATATGCGAGCTATCTGTTGAAAAATTTAAAACACAGAAATATGGGCCCTTTACTCCTTAATCATTAATAGTGAATAGTACCAAAATCAACAAAGTTTACTATTCTTATTACAACTAGAACTGAACTCAAGGGAACACACAAACCGAAACATCAGTTTGCTAATTAAAATCACTTCTGCTAAATTTAAGATACACAGATAGAGAAATAGAATATCCATTTTAACTGTGTTCTCAGAGATGTTTATAAGAGAGAGGGGAAAAAAAGCCCAATTATGGTTAGAGAAAAAAAGCATTATGGCTAAATCTTATATATATTATCAATTAAAAATCAGCAGTATAGAAGTTATACAAGAATAGTGTACATTTGAAAATATGAATTCACATTTTCTGAATAAAGAACTAGATCTAAACACACTTGATATAACATCCTAGTCACCCTCCTAAGGTTTAAACTAAGCATAGAGAAGAATGTTCTTAATTTGATAAAATGCATTCACCTAGGAAATTACTACTAAAGTTAAGACCATTCAAGAGTAACAGCTCATAGCATTTATACAGTATACATGGACTTTCTAACTAATGCTACGATATAACAAAAATAGGTTAGAGGAATAATAGTAAGAAGTTCAAATTACTTGTATTTGCAGATGGTGCAATTGTTTCTATAAAAAGTCCAAAGAATCTAGAAGTTTTAGAATAGAATTCAAGAAGGCTGCTTATAAATTAATACTGTGTATCAGCAGTAATAGGGTCATATTTTTATGAACTACTTGAATATTAAAATACACATAGGAACCCTGAATAGATAAAACTCAACTGTAAGAGCTAAAACTAACTTTTTGTTGTTGTTAACCCTCATTGGAGGACATTTTTTTCATTGATATTTAGAGAGTAAAAGGGATGGAGGGAAGGGGAGTGGTGGAGGGGAGGAGTGGAGGGAGGGGGGGGAGAGAGAGAGAGAGAGAGAGAAAGAGACACACACACACACACACACATCAATGTGACAGACACACTGATTGGTTGCTTCCTGCATGCACTCCGACCAGGGCCGGGGATTGGGATAGAAATTGCAACCCAGGTACATGCCCTTAACCGGAAATCAAACCCACAACCCTTTGGGGTGCAGGCCAGTGCTCTAACCATTTAGACACACCAGCCACTGAAACCATAGCTCTTAAAGAAAACATCATGACTTTGGGTTTGGCAAAAATTATTTAAAACATGATACCTAAATCATCAGAGAGAACAACTAAAAAGATAAATGAGTTAAAAAAAAAAAAAAAAAAAAAAAAAAACCTACA